CTGCATGGCTCTAGTACAACGAACCCATTGGCCCGCAGAGTAATCATCTTCTGAAACCTCGCGTTGGTGTGCGTGTAATCGAGATTGATCCTGCCCGTCTCGCAGGAGAGAAGCAGAGGCCAAACGCTGTCCTCTTTTGGCGCTGCAATCGTCCCGACATGCACGGCCCAGGGAACGAGAGCATGTGGTCCTCAGCTTGGCCCCTGGCTTGAGCCTTCTCATGGATAAAAAAATCACAATAAAACCCGCCGGAGTATTTCGACGAGTTTCACCGGAGAATTGCTGATCATCAGTATGCAGATGAATTGCCCATTTTATCACAAGATAGACTTGAAAGTCGACTCAGGGCCGTGAACATCTTAGCTCGGATTTCTCCAGATCTCGAATCTTCATCGTAGAAAGCACGGACGAGTTGTTATTCAGTATACCGTCCAGGGGGTGCAGCGTCTTCCCGCAGTGCGCTGGGCAGTCGGCGTTGTGGAGGTCAAAGTGATCGAGTGGCTCGGGCATCTCACTCCCTTACTCATCAATGTTTACTGGACTGGTTTGTATCGAGGCTTTTGTCTTTCTAGACATTTCGCATTGATTTTGTAATGCACAGATAGAACATCTTGGCACCGTCACGGCCATCGACGAACTGGACGCTTCCGAAAGTGGAGGAGGTGGATGGAGCATGACCATCGGAGAGTCTGCACCTATCCTAAACGATTGCCATATCGGAGATTCGATCTGTGTCAACGGATGTTGCCTCACAGTCACCCAGTTTGACCCTACTTCGTTCAAAGTCGGCCTGGCTCCCGAGACATTATCGAGGACGAACCTGGGTAAGCATTTTATGTCATGATACATGCTACCATCTGACGAATAAACCTGTAGGTCAACTCAAAGTTGGCCAAAAGGTTAATCTGGAGCGTGCAGTCGCAGGCCATATCCGGTTCGGTGGCCATTTCGTGCAGGTACGTCTTCAAAAACAGAAATGAGCACATCTCACCTTTTATTTCAAGGGGCATGTCGATGAAGTGGTGACTATCGTGTCCAGACAGCCAGATGGAAATTCCTTGCGCCTACTCTTCAAGGTTCCAGAAGGGACAGATGAAAGACCCTCACTCTTACCTTATATCATCCCAAAAGGCTTCATCGCACTAGATGGTACCTCTCTTACCGTCACGACTGTTTCCGATGCAGATCGAACTTTTGGTGTCATGCTCATCGCTCATACTCAGACCAAGATCGATCTTAGCAATAAACCAGTGGGTGCCACAGTAAATGTGGAGGTGGACATGGTCGGGAAGTATGTCGAGAAATCGGTGACAGCGGCCATGGGTGATCTTGAAAGCGACGGGTCGGCCCCATTAAAGGCATTTATTGAAAAGACTGTCGAGAATGTATTGCGGACCCATAGGCTGATTCAGTAATAGTAGATTTGAATCTACCCGATGAGCTCCCTCTTTAATATAGTTACAGCCAGTACGATATCAATAAAGGACCAAGGTAGGCCATCATGGAATATTCAAGGAATCAGAATGTTTCATTCAACGAGACTACTTGATGTACATTCGTGAGCTAATACTGATATTCCAAAGGAGGGTGTGCAGGTGTTGGGGGTAAAGAATAAGTGATAATATGTAGACGTGCCAAGATTAACCATGCAA